GGGATTGTAAACCTGGAAACACATTTGAAAGCATGTTTAAAGAAAATAGTTGACTCAAGACATTGATGTGGTACTATATTAAAAACAGTATCATGCAATATAAAGCCAGTGAGTTGAAATAACCTTTGCCTACCTTTTGCTTTGCAAATCCAGGATCAATGACAAACACCACACCGTCTATTGTCAGAGAGGTCTCAGCAATGTTTGTAGAAACCACAACCTGAAGATGAAATTAAAAAGGGAGCGTCAGATATCTATTATCAAAATATGATCTAATAGGGAATATGTATATGCAAATTGCACATCATTTAAAGCCAGCCAAGGAGATACATCGTTTTATCTGGTGTGATACTCCTTATGTATTGCTAGCTCCTCTTAAACTGCTCCGTTTGCTGCCTTCTGGCAGGCGGTACCGCAGCATCAGGACAAAAACCACCAGACTCGGAGACAGTTTCATCCAACAGGCCATATGACTATTTAACACCTGAGCTGGCACTATTTTTATTTTTGTGTTTTTTATATAAATGTCTTGTAATTTGCACTGTTGAGGAACCTGCGATCTAAGCTTTTCATACATTACATATTTACACCGTAGTTGTGAGTATGTTATGACAATAAACCATTGAATCTTGAATCTTAAAGAGACAAATTTAACATATATATTAGTTCAAATGTACCTTTCTTCCTATTGCACCATTGGGCTTTCTTGGAGGAGGAGCCTCAAAGATCCGTTGCTGCTGCTGCGGTGGTAATGTGGAATACAGTGGAATGATTTTGATGTCTCCAACATCAGGTCCTAGGTCATCTACCTCACGCTTGATCCGTTTGCAGGCCTCGTCGATTTCCTGAAAGAAAATGTTAATTGAACTTTGTGAGTTGAGGAAACGGAACAATGCAACTATGATGCCAATTTAACTAACAGTAATACTAGTGCCACATGTCTTACCTCTTGACCAGTGAGAAAGAGCAGGGCGTCTCCTTCTTCTTCCTCACACATATGAATCTGGATGACAGTGCGGATCGCTGCCTCGAGGTAGTCTCGCTCTGGTTCTGGAGTGTAGAAAATCTCTACAGGATGTGTACGCCCGGGAATAGTGAGGAGAGGGCAGTTGTCGAAATACACCTGAAACTTCCCGGCATCAAGCGTGGCACTCATGACGATCACCTGAGTTTGAGGACAAGAGTTTGTTTTAGTTTTTTAGACTAAATTTGGTTTATCTAAGCACCAATATGATGCAACGGTCAGACAAAGTACTACCACATTCCCCTTTATTTGTGGAAAGTGTTACTAAATAATCTGTGTACAGTCCAAATGTAAATGTGATTAGAATCAAAAAGGGACCAGCTAATTCCTCAGACCATGCTGTTAATCATGTTTTTTTCTTTTGATATTTCTATTTTATTATATAAGAAGTCAGCTGCTCGTAAGGAGGAAAGGGAGTGTTCCAGCAGTGATGTGAATCTTTATGAAGAACGAATTAATGGTCCCAGCTAAGTATTTTCCCATAGTATTTTATTTTGTTAGCCTGCCCATTAACTAAAGTGCCTGGTAAAGAAAAACTTAAAAGGAAATAATGGATTGTCGTCATTAAAAAATGAATAAATAAGTACCTTCAGATCTCCTCGTTGACGCACCACCTCCTTGAGTACTCCCATCAGGATATCTGTGGCCAGGGTTCGCTCGTGGGCCTCGTCCAGAATGATCACACCGTAACGCTCCAGCAGCGGGTCATTCATGGCCTCTCGCAGTAACATACCATCTGTCATGTACCTAAAGAAATAACAAACATGCTTGTTAGATTGAGACGGTTGGAACTAACAGTTAGACTTGTTGCTTTGTGCCTATAAAAAGAAGCTATTGGGCATTACAGGCTCTATTCGCTTACTTGAGAATAGTCTTAGCAGAGCTGCAGTCCTCAAATCGAATAGAGTAGCCGACTTCCTGTCCAAGCATGATGTCCATTTCATCTGCCACTCTTTGAGCCACACTCATAGCTGCCACTCTCCTGGGCTGAGTACAGGCTACAGCCCTCTTAGGTCCAGGCTGGCCCTTCACCATGTCCACACACCACTGTGGGATCTGGAGATTGAAGCAAAAGTTGCAATTAATTGAGATAAAAATAATTTAGAGGAGAATTCACTTTTATGCAGCAAAGTGCCATCATACTGGATTTGCTGGTACTTACAAAAGCTTTCAACAAGGATTGCAAAGCTTGTAATGTCTGACATTTAGAAGTCTGGCCAGTATATTGAATTTCTGACCTGTGTGGTCTTTCCAGAGCCAGTTTCTCCAACAAGGACAAAGCTCTGATGACGTGTGATGATATCGCTGAAGTTTTCCTTGTACTCCCACACTGGAAGTTGTAACCGCTTCTTTAGGATCTCGTAGAAGCGTGGAGTGTGCGGCAGGTTGGTGAATGGGTTGATCTGCTGTTGCATAGCCATCTGCTTGATGGGTGCCAAGCAGGGCATGGGCACTGTGATGTTAGACGGGCCAGTAGAAGGCTTTGAGTCTCTGTCCCGGTCTCGATCCCGGTCCCTATCTCGGTCCCTGTCCCTGGAGCGGTCCTCACGGTCTCTGTCACGATCCCTGTCTCTCCTGTCAACATCAGAGCAGGGCATCATACATATTTCCAATGTAAATGATATCATTGTAAAGCTACTTTGTCACCGTCTGCCTATTCTGATGTAAAAATTGCAAAGGTTTAAGTATTTGTTTATACCGGTTAACATCATGTGGGTTGAGTAACAGAGCATTTCTTACTAGCGTTGGTTGTATAATGGTTTAAATACTGTTTTGTTTTTATCTAGCCAACTCTCTTGCAAAAGTAAAATAGACACACATGCAACTCAACTGCATCAATTAACAATAAAGACTATAACACCTGGATGTATTTTAGTAATTGTAATTGCTATTTCTTTTGTTATCTTTCATATTTTATGCATGCCTGCCAAATTATTTTTGCTCTTTTTGGCTCTTCACTTTAGTCGAAGCAAACCTAATTTCGCCTCTGTGGGCGGGGTATTCTGATACTGAGCCTGTCACTACAAAATGCATAAACACCACAACAGAATGAACTCATAGTTCAGACTAACATTAAAACTGAACATTACAACCTTCATATTGGTGTAAAGTGACCTAACAAAACAAAATGAGTGAGGTCTTAATAAAGCGGTTGTTTCTTGTTGTGGTAACGAAGTTTCGGTTAGCAGGGCAATAATGCTAGAGCAGAATAAGGTTTGTTGGGAGCTCTTTACGTGATAATTCATAGTAACAAGTTATAATTCCAGAACGTAGAACGTTAGCCACATACATACGTGCCTGTATGGTGAACGGTTGTTAGCTTTAGCCGTCCTCCGCAGCTAACACTGACATGACGTTATAGCAAAAACACAATATATGTTTAACTCTATATAAGGAGGACATTCGGGTAAGGGTAGGCAGGGACTACAACCAAAGCTATACAATGGTTAGGTTATGGTTCTATTGTCCCGGTTTTGATTACCCATCCATGGTGGCTATTAGCCAAATGATCTAGCTTCAGCTAACAGTTAGCTTGTAGCTAACCGCTTAAAGCGACATGTTTCCTCTGGAGCTTCACTCACCCTTCAGACCTCTTCTTGGTGGAAGAGTAGTCATCCCCCAAATCAAGGCGATGTCTTTTTGACATCTTTAGGTAATTATGTAGTTTATATTTGATCAATTAGCGCGGATACAATTCCACCGGGCAATATGCTAACTCCAGATTCTTGTGATTATTATTTCTTTTTTTCACTTTTGTTGTTGTTGCAGTTGCTGTACAGATTTGATTACTGCCACCTGCTGGTCTGGAGTATGCACTGACCTTAGCCATTTTCGTCAAATTGTTTATGATCATAGGTGTGATTTGCTTCTGGGGACTTGGGACATGTCCCCACAACTTTTTGAAATAGCCAATTTTGTCCCCACCATTTTTAAAAGTGTAACTTATAAATATACTGAAAAATTGCGTGCACAAAGAAATGTAACAAACAAGAACACTGGTTTATTGTCAAGATGTGCAATTTGGACATGTTAATACACTTTTTATAGAATATTAAGCCCAATTTCACAAATTGTTATTTTGTCTCAGGAGGCTTTACAGTTTATACAGAACATGAATACGCCAGAAATTCCCGGTGCTGTAAGTTTTTTAAATATTTATTGAAGAGAGAAGAGTCACCAAATAAAAGTGGAACTGGTCAGAGGAAGTGAAATGAAATATGATAGCAACTCAAAGATATTGTTAAAGACACGTGCGCTTGTAGAAACTTTCAGAGCAATTGAAAGTACATAAAGTTATAAATGTTGTCGTATCCACAGAATACAAGGCTACCAAGCAAAACAACATTGTGTGAAACACAGACACAGAAATGTATGAATACATGAATTTAAGTGTAAATGTAGAAATACATTAAAGATATATAATAATGTGTGTTCTGTTTTATTCCCAACTTAAATTTTTTTATTTATATATTCATTTATTTTCATTTTTTTCTTGTGTTTATTTATTCCTGTATTTATTTATTTGTTCTTGTGTTTATTTATTTGTGCTAACTTTTTTCTTTAGTATTCTAAAATGTTTTAATTTAAATGTGTTTTGTGTGGCACACATTTTTGGATTGGTGATATGCCCTGAATTTATATATATATATAATATCAATGATTTTTAATGCTAAAAAAATAGGAAAAATGTGTGCTATCTTAACATCCTCACACACATAAAGGGTATTTTCCAAGGTTTGTAATAAATTACAATAGAACTTTAGAAGATCATTTCAATTGCTTCCACTTCCATGTGATGTGATCCATTGTTTTATAAGAATATCTGGATTTAGAACAATAGCAGAATGTCCATCGAATATCCAACCTCAAACTAACTTCACCCCCCCCCCCCCCCCCCCCCCCCCCCGCCCGTGATGAGCTGATTATATGCAGCTGCCGAGTGAATGTATAGTATATAGACCTACCCAGTCTTCCTGAAAGAACTTGCGCTGAACTTCATATCCACTATAAAACACGAAGGACGAGTTTTTGTTCGAAGAAGGCAAATTAGATTCAGCAGCACGTCTGGAAGAAGTTGCATATGTCTGACTCATGAAAAGACCGATGCTCCACCCTCAGCAAACAGAAAACAACGTCCACTGACAGCTAAATACAAGATTTTTTGGGCTCGACAGGCTTCAACAGGGTAGAGTGTATCATCAGTAAAGACCTTTCAACAAGTTGTCGTTTTTGATGGGATTTGTTGCTTAACATGCGTCTACACGGGTAAGTCGATTTTAGGCTGCCTGAAGTCTGCGTTTTGCTTTTAATTAACTCCATCTGCAGAGTAAAAGATTGCGACATTGTATTTATTTATCGTGTACGCTTCATTTAGCTTGTCTGATTTCAGATTTGATATCCTAAAGATATGACGATAATGTGACTGTCTTACTGAAACCGCCCAATTGTATTACAAGTAGCTCAAAAGAACTCAAACATTTCTGCAATATTAAAATCCTTCTAACATGTTGATTAACCCCATAACGTGAGTTTTTCACCTTGTTTTTTTTCCCGAACGCCTTTTGAATAATGCATGACTTTTACCAGGAACAGAGTAGTTATACAAATGCTACTACTTTAACTTAAATTAAGGAATCTAAATACAGCAATCAATGTTTATTGTCATGCAACACATGAGTTTATCCATTTGAGGCACTCTCCTAACGATTTTAACATTTTTCAGGTCAATGAATATACTAGGAGCAGCAGTGTTGGTTCTGCTGGCCGGCTGTCAGCAATGTGTCTCCACTGACACTCCACCAGAGGTCAGGCAGAACAATAGTACTCTGTACTCAGCCTGCAAAATGAGACCCAGCACCTCACTCCCTGAAGGCCTGCCAAAAGTGTACGGTCAGGTGCTGTTTAAGCAGGAATATCCTGAGGGGAAACTCAAGGTGCTCCTTCAGTTCAGTGGCTTCCCCACAGAGAGCGCCCCAGTGCCCAGAGCGGTGCACATCCATCAGTTTGGAGACCTGAGCCAGGGGTGTGACTCCACTGGAGGCCACTACAACCCACACAGCGTACATCACCCAGACCACCCTGGAGACTTCGGTAACTTTGTGGCTCTGAAAGGAAAAATCAATACGATGATAGAGTCTGAGGCCACGCTGTTCACAGGGCTGTCTGTGATTGGAAGAGCCGTGGTGATCCATGAGAGGGAGGACGACTTGGGGAGTGGGGGAGACGCTGGGAGCCTGCTGAGTGGAAACGCAGGCCGGAGGCTTGGCTGCTGCATCATTGGGATTTCTCCCCCCAGCCTCTGGAATATGAAGTATGAGGTGTATAATAAACGTAAGCTTGTGGATGCTGGCATGTAGGGCAATTAAAGAGATTTTCCCTTGATTAAATCATTGATTGGATCCATTGGATCCATTGTATCCCTTGTGTGGCTTATCAAAAATGGTGGGAAAGTGTCTTGAGAATTCAACTGCTCCAAAAATAAAATAAATGCTCAGTTCTTTAATCCTTGGTGATTTTCTGACTTTTCCTTAAACACCATCGGTTTAAATTTGTTTATGACCAAAGTAGCGACACTACCCGAACTAAGAAGGTTAACATGGTATTCATTACAAATGCATTCATTTGCATGTGAATGTCATTTCAAATATATTATCACGCTTACAAAAACCTCCATTACATCCGTGCAGTGCAGGTTTCTATATAATTCTATACTTAAAACATGTTTTTATTCAGTTGAATCATTTATTTTGCAGAAATAAATCCATGTTGTGCACATTCAACAAATATACACGTATGGTTTTGTGGTATTTCTATCTGATGAGTTAATACTTTTTGCTACAAAACATGACAACGTCAGTGCTGGTAATACTACATGTTGTGGGTTCTTTGTGTAACAGACGAGTGAACTCTTAACTAAATTTATGTTCAAAGTCAACTGTCCTTAATAAAAAGTGGTTTGGAAATGTTTGCATTGTTTTTAAAGAAAATAAATAAAGTTTCTGCTTAAGCTAAACATCTGGCTGATTTATTTGTTGTAGAGATCGTTAACATGGTTTCCTAAATGTGGAGGCAGAGGCATGGACGGAGGTAGAAAGATAAAGGAGAAATCCTAAGCAACACCTTTAAGTTCATGTCAAATGCAATTGCACGTGTCCCTTTATTTTTTTGTTAGTTCTATAGAAAACCTAAACCAGTGTCTTATTCCAGAGATAACATTAGACATGTTATTAAAATGACATTTTCCTTCAATGTTGGGTTCATATTCAGTCTTAAGTAAATCTCAAAGACTGACATTGTGTCAATGCAGAGAAATCTAAATCATCCCACCTGGTATATGAAACACAAATTCTACAGCCCTTTTTTGCTACTTTTTAAATGAACTTGAATCATAGTTCCTCCCGCTCTGATACAAACGCATAAAGCTTCAAACTTTCTGGCTGAGGTTTGGGTTTCCTGTTTTAGAAAGGAAGCTAATCTCTACCAAAATGAGCTCCAAAAAAGTTGTGGAGGCTGTTATAGCAGCGTATTGTTCAACAATCACATGCGGGTGTTACGGTCAGGTTTCAACATTCTTTGGACCATTTATACATAAGACTCAAAACAGATCAAATTAAAGCATAAATAACATTGTTGGTTACTGACAGTGGACATATAGATATTTGTTTTGTTTCTCAGGAGGCATTCCCGTTCCTCTGACAGGGATATATTCATTTTTCTACTGTCAGTCAATCGTAACAACTCAGGTGTGTTTCATTATTCATAACAATGAATAAAGTAGCATTAATAATGTTCAAATGTATCAATTATCCTCATGTTTCTGAGGATTTCTCCTGATGCTCTGCACCACGAGAGCGGCTCGTGGAAGACTTCACATTTCCTGACTTACACAAACATCTGTCTCCTCTGTAAGCTCTGTCTCCTGGTTTGACTGGACGTCCTCCTGCTCTTCGTCAGCAGGTGACATTGTGCTATTGATGTTTTCCTGTATCAAAATACACTCCGTTTCAACATTTTCAGTGCATTTCTCTGACTCTTCCTCACTTTCTCCTGTGGGGTCAGAGTTCTCTAAAGTTTGCTGTATGTGGCAGAGGTCTGACGGATGTTGGGTTGGAGAGGAGACACTCACACACTCCTCTTCTCTTGACTGCTGAATGGTTAAATCCGTTGTGACCTGTGATTGGCCGATGTCAAGACACTCCTCACTGTCTGGTGTTTGTGTCTGAGGGCTGGCTGGCTCTTCCTCGGCTGGTTGGCATGTTTCCTCGCTGGAAGCCGATGGTGTCTCCACGAGAGGCTCCCCTCCATTACCTGACACAGCGGGGGGTTCAATCTCTTGGATGGAGATTTCTGTGGAGCTCTGCTGATCCACGGCTATTTCTTCTGACACTTCATCACCTATATGAATAGAAGATTTAAGAAATGTAATCTCTGCAACACAGAACCATAGATGGCGTACACTGAGAGAAGTTTAGGGCACATTGATCCCTCACCTTCCTTTCCAGGAGACTCTGTTGTCTCCGCCTGCTGAGTGTTCAGGATGATGGTTTCTTTTCCTCCTATTATGACAAAATATAATTCAAAGTAAGCCTTAATAAAAGCACGAGACATCCAGAAAGCTGTATGCAGTGGTGGACAATGACTAAGTCCATTTAATTTACTTATGTCCAATTTTAAATTATTTGTACTACATGAGAAAATCTACTCCACTAGTCAACAAATGTACTTAGATTTATTTCATAAGTTAAGTTACTGCTAATAATGCAATATATTAACAAAAAAACACCATATAATGTATTGAATTGAATAACAATTACTTGGTGATATTTATAAGTTATTAAGCAGTAATATTTAATAAAAAATAATCGACACCTTTCAAATCTGCCACATTTAAGGGTGGTACATTTTAATGCATCAACAATTATTTTGGTACGTTAAGTATGATGCTAATACTTTTGAATTCAGAATTGCTACTTGTAATAAACTATTATTCTACATTTTCATTTGCTATTTCTATGAAAACATCGAGTATGAGTTCCAACAATGCTTGTCACTGTTGTATTGAATAGAAAAGAGTACATTTAATTTGGGAAAGTATGAGAAGTTATTGAAGAAGATGAAGTTTGCATGTTAAAAAGTATTAAGAGAAAGTGAGAGAAACGTACTTCCATATATTCCCAGAGACACATTATAAGTCAGGCCTTCAGGAAGCAAGAAGCAAAAGGACAGAAGGAAGGATAAGGCATGTCAATTATTATTGTGTCACCTTCATAATCTAAATTATTGCATTAAAACAAATAAAAACAACAACAGGAAGCAGCCCTCTCACCTGCTCTCCGGCTCTTTCTAACTGTCGGACCAGATCCTCTCGCTCATGAGCAGGAAAGTGTCGAGTGCCGACCTCCTCGTCTCCAAGCCTCTGTTTGGTGATGGTCATTCGTAAAAGCTGTTGGGAGAGAGATACATAGTTTTGTATTTTGCACAGTTTTCCAGTTTTCTGCTTTATTTAATCTGATAAACCTCTTTTTCTGCATGAACTTTTATGCCGACTCAAATCAGATACATGTATTCTTAACTATAAATATTTGTAATATATGCAAGACCGAAAAAGAGAACTATTCATATTTAATTTGATTGCAATGTCCAGTATGTTGAACAGTGTTTACCTTGTTGTCACCTTGAGCTTCCACCAGGCGTTGTTTCAGCTCCTTCACCTCCTCAGAAAGTTCACTGCTCTTTTCTCTGGAGTCCCTCAGTAGCTGGGCTAAATTCACCTGAAGAGGACATGAAGATACAATCACTACCACTACACAGACTTATAATTGGTCTGTTACATTAATATATCCACGATAAACAATTAAAGCTATACAGAACAATAATTTTATGTTACAGTTTTTCTCGATTGCTAACACACTTTTTTTTTTTAATTGCTCAGTTTCTCAGAACACTAAACACAATTCACAAAACCACACACCCAAAGTGCAAAACACCTAATTTCTCCTGTTAAGTGAAGAACTGCACTCAAAACTATATAAACACTTACCAAATGCAAACTTTTGCACCAAATATAACACACTTCATTCATAATACTAGATTGTTTGACCACCCAACTACACACTGCTGAGCATAATCTAAAGCACTTTCATCTTTTATGAGCTATGCTCTGTACATAGAGGTTTCTGCAGAGAAAGATTGCTTGAGTATACAGAAATACAGTAAATGAAGAAATACAAATGAGTTGTTGAAAAAAATCATATTTTATTCAAAAATAACATTGTGCAACATGCATCTCAGCCCATACAGTAGTTACTATGCTTCAGGGAGGCTGTGGCTCGGTGAATAGTGTGCTGGACTTCGAATCAGGGGATAGCAAGTTCGAGTCCCACTGCAGTCAGCATGTTGTTGTGTCCCTGGGCAAGACACTTCACCCCAAATTGCTCCTGTGGGGAATGTCCACAGTATTGAGTATGTAAGTCGCTTTGGATAAAAGCGTCTAACAAATGACATGTAATGCTTCGGATCTCTCTAAGTTTGATGGCATTGTTTGCCAAAACCCAGTTTGTAACTGCTGCTTCCTGTGCCTCATTGAAAATCCTTAGCTTTCCACCTGCACCTCTTTTTTTCTCAGTCCTTCAGATAAACAACAAAGATATAGTGGTTGGTCAGTGTCTGTGTTGCATAAAAGTCAGTTTACCACAGTACATTGTGCAGGATTTTTGTACAGTTATATGCAACATGCCAACAATTCAATTACAGTAATGAAGTAAATACGTTTCACACAACAGATGATATATCATGAATTATGCAGAGCTAAAAACTGGTAACTAACCTGTTTTCAAGTCTAAGTGTCCGGATTACAGAGGCAACAGTGAATCGGCTTAGATTAGGCTGAACCCTCTGTCCAGCCTCTCTCATCGTCAACATGGTTGATAACATTTCATTTCATTAGAGAGTATTCTTCTTTGTCCGCCGCATGCGGGCCGCCGGCTCTATCCACTGGGCTATCTATTCTTTAAACTGTTTAATTTTTTTGTAATAATCATAATTGTCTTTTTGTTCACAACTTCTCCACATTTTGAAGTGCAAATCAACATGGCACTTTTTGCAAACCACTGCACACGTTTCTCCACGTAAGACACAGGAATCTGACATAAAGTCACGTGTTAGCTGATTTAAAACACTGATATTCAAAATGCCTCACACATGGACCAATAATCAAGAAACACATTCCACCTGACCAAACACCTGATAGCATAATTGTTGGCACATCAATCAGGATGTTAGCACTATAAAAAGACCACAGGTGAGTACTTTCTTACAGCAACAATGGAAGCCAACATGGAAGCAAGAGCAAGAGCAAGAGGAAGAGGAAGAGGAAGAGCTGAGCTGAGAGTGAGAGGAGGAGGAAGAGGTGGGGTGAGAGTGAGAGGAAGAAGAATGAGAGGTAGAGGTAGACCTGGAGGGGCGACGTCCTCCACTGCAACTGGTTCAAATCCTGGTATGGATGAACTTTTAATCATTGTCCGCTTTTCAACTTTAATACTATAACTGATAAAAGGTGTGTGTGTGTGTGTGTGTGTGTGTGTGTGTGTGTGTGTGTGTGTGTGTGTGTGTGTGTGTGTGTGTGTGTGTGTGTGTGTGTGTGTGTGTGTGTGTGTGTGTGTGTGTGTGTGTGTGTGTGTGTGTGTGTGTGTGTGTGTGTGTGTGTGTGTGTGTGTGTGTGTGTGTGTGTGTGTGTGTGTGTGTGTGTGTGTGTGTGTGTGTGTGTGTGTGTGTGTGTGTGTGTGTGTGTGTGTGTGTGGAATATTTTTCAAGGCAAAGATACGTTAAACCCACTGCAGTCTTGCACTTCGCCAGGAGAGGTCGCTGTAACTGAAGCTTCGAGAAATGAACCTATTTCCGACACAATTGTCCAAGTGGTTCGATGATTCATTCAAAGCTTCATTTGCCCATCACTAGTTTAGAGTTTTGGAGATTTGAGCAGATGTTTTGCTCTTTGAGTGTCAGTTAAAATAATTGTGCTTTATGTATAATTGTAGTGTGTTAACAATCGAGAAAAACTGTAATAGCCATTTCAGCCATTTAGAGTATGTCAAATTCACTTGATTCCTTGGGAATGGTCATTTAATGCAAATTGTAGAACCTTTATTTTTAGACAAATATCTTTTCTGTTTTGCCATTTATTCCTTCCATTTTAAAGTGTGGCTGCAGCACGGTAATTGGCTGCTGGAAAATGAGGTGAAATGTAATAGGTTAAAGAGACGCCCGTGATGAGCTGATTATATGCAGCTGCGGAGTGAATGTATAGTATATAGGCCTACCCAGTCTTCCTGAAAGAACTTCATATCCACGATAAACACGAAGGACGAGTTTTTGTTCGAAGAAGGCAAATTAGATTCAGCAGCACGTCTGGAAGAAGTTGCATATGTCTGACTCGTGAAAAGACCGGTGCTCCACCCTCAGCAAACAGTAAACAACGCCTACTGACAGTTTATACAAGATTTTTTGGGCTCGACAGGCTTCAACAGGGTAGAGTGTATCATCAGTAAAGACCTTTCAACAAGTTGTCGTTTTTGATGGGATTTGTTGTTTAACATGCGTCTACACGGGTAAGTCGATTTTAGGCTGCCTGAAGTCTGCGTTTTGCTCTTAATTAATTCCATCTGCAGAGTAAAAGATTGCGACATCGTATTTATTTATCGTGTACGCTTCATTTAGCTTATTTGTCTGATTTCAGATTTGATATCCTAAAGATATGACGATAATGTGACTGTCTTACTGAAACCGCCCAATTGTATTACAAGTAGCTCAAAAGAACTCAAACATTTCTGCAATATTAAAATCCTTCTAACATGTTGATTAACCCCATAATGTGAGTTTTTCACCTTGTTTTTTTTCCCGAACGCCTTTTGAATAATGCATGACTTTTACCAGGAACAGAGTAGTTATACAAATGCTACTACTTTAACTTAAATTAAGGAATCTAAATACAGCAATCAATGTTTATTGTCATGCAACACATGATGAGTTTATCCATTTGAGGCACTCTCCTAACGATTTTAACATTTTTCAGGTCAATGAATATACTAGGAGCAGCAGTGTTGGTTCTGCTGGCCGGCTGTCAGCAATGTGTCTCCACTGACACTCCACCAGAGGTCAGGCAGAACAATAGTACTCTGTACTCAGCCTGCAAAATGAGACCCAGCACCTCACTCCCTGAAGGCCTGCCAAAAGTGTACGGTCAGGTGCTGTTTAAGCAGGAATATCCTGAGGGGAAACTCAAGGTGCTCCTTCAGTTCAGTGGCTTCCCCACAGAGAGCGCCCCAGTGCCCAGAGCGGTGCACATCCATCAGTTTGGAGACCTGAGCCAGGGGTGTGACTCCACTGGAGGCCACTACAACCCACACAGCGTACATCACCCAGACCACCCTGGAGACTTCGGTAACTTTGTGGCTCTGAAAGGAAAAATCAATACGATGATAGAGTCTGAGGCCACGCTGTTCACAGGGCTGTCTGTGATTGGAAGAGCCGTGGTGATCCATGAGAGGGAGGACGACTTGGGGAGTGGGGGAGATGCTGGGAGCCTGCTGAGTGGAAACGCAGGCCGGAGG